AAACCCTAAACCCTAAACCCTAAACCCTAAACCCTAAAGCCTAAAAGCCCTAAGCCCTAAACCCTAAACCCTAAACCCTAAACCCTAAACCCTAAACCCTAAAAACCCTAAACCCTAAACCCTAAACCACTAACCCCTGAACTGCTGCGCAGGGGCCCCTGGCATCGCCGCCTGCGCGGCCCATGCCCTGGCGGGCCTTGGTGGCGCCGCAAAGGCTGGCTCGGTGCCTGTGGTGTAGGGGTTTAGGGTTTAGGGTTTAGGGTTTAGGGTTTAGGGTTTAGGGTTTAGGGTTTAGGGTTTAGGGTTTAGGGTTTAGGGTTTAGAGGAGGAGATGATACGATAGTTATTTATCTAAATATATACACACGTTTTGTATGTATATGTATATAGGGTTTAGGGTTTAGGGTTTAGGGTTATATATATATATATATATTTAAATGCGCATACATACATAAGATCAGAGATCCAAGCCTGTGCACAAGCCGACCACGGCCTGCGATTCTCTGTGGCTCGCCGCTGCCTCCACGCCTCAACCCTAAACCCTAAACCCTAAACCCTAAACCCTAAACCCTTAAACCCTTAAACCCTAAACCCTAAACCCTAAACCCTAAACCCTAAACCCTGTGCGTTTAAGGAAGAGAACTCCAAGCCTCAGCCACTTTGAGGCACACGCAGCAGCTCTAGAGGCTTTGCTTGCCAGCGATGCGGAGGAGAGTTTCGCGTTGTGGAGGTTTAGGGTTAACGGGGTTCAAGGGGTTTAGGGGTTTAGGGGTTTAGGGTTTAGGGTTAAAGTGGTTTGGGTTTAGGGGTTTAAGGTGGGTTTTGCAGAACTCAGCGCAGCATCTAAGCTCCCTCAGCCGTGGACCCCCGCCGCCACTAAGTGCAAACGCAGGACGCCTCAGCAGCTTCTCTCTGCGCCTCTGGCGCAGGGGCTGAGGTGCCCTCGGGAGCTCGTTGGAAGATAATTTTAGTTATTAAGGATGGATATATATATATATATACATACATACAGATAGCGTTATATGTATATGTATATGTATATTTTCTTACTGCACCCAGTCTGATTCCTTGACGGGAGCCCAAAGACTTGTGTATGAGCAAGAGTTTAAGGCTGCAGGGTTGTGGGGCTTCTGAGTTTAGGGGTTGAAGGACCACTAAACCCTGAGAATCTCATCCTAAACCGTAAGGGTTTAGGGTTTAGGGTTTGGCTCCCTAAACCCCAAGCCCCAAACCCTGTTTTCGGTTTTCTTTCCGGATATGAAGAAGCCACCAGGGCTTGAACCTCTATGACTCCTTTCTCAGAGTGCCTTCGCCGTAAAGCCACTAGACCTCTTGTGGTCACCTTGTTCCTTCGGAAGACGATATTTCTTAAAGTTAGCAAGGAACGAATGGAATTACCTAGACCCTAAACCCAAAACCCTAAACCCTAAACCCTGAACCCTAAACCCTAAGCCCTAAACCCGGAATTGGGGATTCGAGGCAGCGGGGCAATAGGTGGGAAACATCGTTCTGACCCGAATCCTGACACCCGAAACCGGAATCCCAAACCCTGAGGCCCCAAGAACCGAACCCTTAAGACGGTTTCAGGTTTAGGGAAGTTTAGGGTTTGGGATTTAGGGTTTAGGGTTTGCGGTTTCAGGTTTAGGGAAGTTTAGGGTTTGGGATTTAGGGTTTAGGGTTTGAGGTTTAAGGTTTAGGGTTTAGGGACGCCGAAGAGAGTCAAAAAAGGTGCCTGCATCCCTGCGAAAGCCTGCAGTGGCGGCCGCCGAGGTGCAGTACAGGGAGCGGAGAAGGGTTTTGGTTTAGGGTTTAGGGTTTAGGGTTTAGGGTTTAGGGTTTAGGGTTTAGGGTTTAGGGTTTAGGCTAGGAATGTACATACACCAAACGCTTAAACCCTTAACCCTTAAGCCTAAACCCTAAACCTTAAACCCTAAACCCCCTACCGGAATTTAAAAGTTCAAGGATTGAGACATGAGAGTTTGAATTCAATCATCGGGGTTTAGATTCAAGATTCCTTACAGCACCCTTATACGAAACCCCTAACAATACATATTCGTGGCTTAAAATTCAATCATGCGGTTCATGATATACATCCTGCATTACCCATAATAAGGAATATACCAAAATTACCACAGTTTAGGGCCCTCAAGGAAATGCAGGATACATATCCCTAAGCCCTAATCCCTAAACCCCTAAACCCTAAACCCTAAACCCTCAACCCCTAAACCCCATA